TTTTCCTTACATCAGGGAGAAGGACTAAGATGCATTGTCCAGTAAAAATGCTTAACACATTTGCAGAGCGAACCCCTGTGGTGCAAGATCTTGTGAAGCTAAACACCCAGAGGCTTGGTTGCAATAGCTGTCACATACCTCTTAAATATCTGAGGCACAGTCAGCACAGAACTGTCATTCATGAAGTGATCATGAAGCAAGCAAAGGAGAAACTTTGTATACCAAACCATTTTTAACAATAACTAGAACATTTTGAATTATGGAGCTGGATGGAGGAGACTCTTGAGAGTCCCATGGACTGCAAGAAGATCAAACCTGTCCATTCTGAAGGAAATCAGCCCTGAGTGCTCACTGGAAGGGCAGATCCTGAAGCTGAGGCTCCAATACTTTGGCCACCTCATGAGAAGAGAAGACTCCCTGGAAAAGACCCTGATGTTGGGAAAGATGGAGGGCACAAGGAGAAGGGGACGACGGAGGACGAGATGGTTGGACAGTGTTCTCGAAGCTACCAGCATGAGTTTGACCAAACTGCGGGAGGCAGTGGAAGACAGGAGTGCCTGGCATGCTCTGGTCCATGGGGTCACAAAGAGTCGGACACGACTAAACGACTGAACAACAGAACACCAGATTTGTATTCAGCTGCGATGGAGACTGGGGGTAGTTGTCTCAATTTGAAGGCAGACATGTCACTTCGCGAACGGTGGACAACCTTGTCACTGTCCTCCAAATCCACTTACTTCTTTTGTTCTGGGATGAGCTTTGAAGCAGGTGGGGGGGGTGAGTGTGTGTTCTGCAGGTTTACAGCATGACTCCTTTTTCGTGTCAGCAGAAATCTGCATGTTGTGGGCATCCTAGTATTGGCTGAGGTTTACGATATCGCCAACTTCTAGGGTAGTTTTGCAGCCTTTTTAAAAAAAAAACAAACAAACCACGTTTATTTTTTGTTTGAAAGAGAAACATATATGTACAAAATAAATGAGCATGTGTTGCTTTTAAAATGATTGTATAAGACGGTAAAAGGTAAAGGACCCCTGGACAGTTAAATCCAGTCAAAGGCGACTATGGGGTTGTGGTGGTCATCTCACTTTCAGACCGAGGGAGCCAGTGTTTGTCCACAGAAAGCTTTCCGGATCATGTGGACAACATGACTGAACCACTTCTGGTGCAACGGAACACCGTGATGGAAACCAGAATGCATGGAAACACTGTTTACATTCCCGCCACAGTGGTACCTATTTATCTACTTGCTCTGGCGTGCTTTCGAACTGCTAGGTTGGCAGGAGCAAGGGCAGAGCAACGGGACCTCACCACGTCGCAGGGATTCGAACTGCCAACCTCCTGATCAGCAAGCCCAAGAGGCTCAGTGGTTTAGACCACAGCGCCACCCATGTCCCTTATAAGATGAGCAGCCTATCAGGGAAATGTGGGGCATGTCTAGACTTGACACTGCATCTGAGTATCAGATGCAGCTCCCCGGTCCAGTAATTGATTATCATGGTATGTTCATGTGTAACATAAGTTGAGATGCTATGTCAGCAAACTTTTTCAGCAGGGGGCCGGTCCAATGTCCCTCAAACCTTGTGGGCAGCCAGACTATATATGGGGGGGGGGAGGGAATGAATGAATTCCTGTGCCCCACAAATAACCCAGAGATGCATTTTAAATAAAAGGACACATTCTACTCATGTAAAAACACACTGATTCCTGGACCATCCGTGGGCTGGATTTAGAAGGCGATTGGGCCGGATCTGGCCCCCGGGCCTTAGTTTGCCTACCCATGGTCTATGCCAGGGGTCAGCAACCTTTTTCAGCCATGGGCCGGTCCACCATCCCTCAGACCATGTTGTGGGCTGGACTATATTTTTTTTGGGGGGGGGGATGAATGAATTCCTATGCCCCACAAATAACCCAGAGATGCATTTTAAATAAAAAGACACATTCTACTCATGTAAAAACATGCTGATTCCCGGACTGTCTGCAAGCCGGATTGAGAAGGCAATTGGGCCGCATCCGGCCCACGGGCCTTAGGTTGCCTACCCCTGGTCTATGCCATGGGCAAAAATCTGACACAACTGCTTTTACAATGCTCTATCTACACCTGCAAAGTGGCACGGCAGAGTGATTGCTGTCCATTGCGCACCTATCCCACTGTCAATTTCTGTAAACAAGTTTTGCAGCGTTTTTTTGGTAGTGCTTACAGAACCGTGAAGCCTGTTTGAGTGGAGGCAAAGGTGGCAGAAAATAAATGAGCCACAATCGTGTCTCTATCATTAAGGACCCCTGACCATTAGGTCCAGTCGTGACCGACTCTGGGGTTGCGGCGCTCATCTCGCTTTATTGGCCAAGGGAGCTGGTGTACAGCTTCCAGGTCATGTGGGCAGCATGACTAAGCCGCTTCTGGCGAACCAGAGCAGTACACGGAAACGCCGTTTACCTTCCCGCTGGAGCGGTACCTATTTATCTACTTGTACTTTTGATGTGCTTTCGAACTGCTAGGTTGGCAGGAGCAGGGACCGAGCAACGGGGATCCCCGTCGTGGGGATTCGAACCGCCGACTTTCTGATGGCAAGTCCTAGGCTCTGTGGTTTAACCCACATCGCCACCCGCGTCCCTGTCTCTATCATACCACTTCCACAACTTTCTCTCACCTGCCTTTGAGGGTTTTACAGCTGTGCTGCAGGCTACTACACCCACTCCACTGGAATGGTACTCAAGATACAGATAAAATATATCAGATGCTATTTCCTTTCTGCAGGTCATATATGGCTATATATGTGTCAGGAGACAGAAAGAGAAGCTCCCAGAATTGCACAGCAACCGTTACAGCCCAGTCACCACAACCAGGGGAATCATCTGCCATTGTTTGTTTCCATTTGCAAAATTGTTTGAGGCAGAGGATGCAAAAATAAATCACCAGGGGGTGTAAAAACAACCCCAGGTCTGACCTGTGCTGAGTTCAGCACTCGCTTGCAGCATACATCTCTCAGGCATAACATAAATGTGTAATGGATTAAAGGTTTAATAGTATCCGCACAGCAGTTGTCTTAAGCAGGTGATGACAAGGAGGGCTGGGAACATTGCTTTTGTTGGAAGGAGCAACAGCCCAGGCATGTTGTTTAGATGAAACTTAAGAGCCCTATTCTCACAGTCTGCCTTGCTGTGAATTATTCCCATTACGTTTTCTTGATGCTTGCAAGGGACGTCGTCATTGTTAAACTGTGCAGTCCCACACTTCTGGATTTGCTGTCAGTAGCAAACGTTAAAGAAAATAAAACTATAAATGACCAATTAAGAGCGCAGTTGGCTTTCTCACAATGTCTGTGTTAGCAAAATCACTTGAATAATGCAGAGGGAGGCCAGAGAGAAAAGGAATCCTGATAACACTTTACTGAGGAAACTGAACACAAAAGAATGCAATTTGGGGAGAAAGGAACAGAGAGGCTTTCTCTTTCTTACTTTAAACCTTGTACAAAGCAGGGAGACATACAACCAAAACCCAGAGGGGAAATTCCCTCAAAACTACATAGCCATCAGGGTACATGCTACCTCGGTGAAGATCAGACCACTCTACCAAACAACACATCTACCCTTTCCTCTTGGTTAGCTGACTCACCAACAACAAAATTCACCCATATAACATGTAACTATGATGTACTGAGTTGAATAGGATCCAAAATGCAGCAGTCTGATTGGTCCACAGGACCCACCGGGCCAGAATTCGTGGGCTACACAACCCATAAACTGTCAGCCCACAAGGGGTGCCTGTTATGGGGAAGCAGGGTCATCATTCCCCATCCCCTCCGCAAAAGGGTCCTCACAGCCCTACATGAGACACACCCAGGGGTAGTGAGAATGAAGGCCCTCTCCAAGAGTTATGTGTGGTGGCCGGAGATCGAGAGAGAGATCGAGGCCTGGGTCAAACACTGCCAGGCCTGCCAAGAATCCCGCCCAGATCCCCCAAGGGCCCCAGTCCAGTCCTGGGAGTCCGCCCGAGCACCATGGTCACGCCTGCATGTGAACTTCGCTGGCCCCTTTCAGGGGAAAACATTCTTCATAGTGGTGGACTCCTACACCAAATGGCTGGAAGTTGCACTGGTACCGTCCACTTCTACGTCTGCAGCCACAGTGGTCCACAGGAGCCACCCAATCCAGCTCCAGGTGGAAGTGAATCCACAACCTGATTGGCCTACAGGAGAATCCTGGAATTAGCAAATCACGTGGGGCCCATAGTGTAAATAATGTATATAAAGCAGACATTCTGGGGGAACTTCCATTCTTCCTCACCACTACGAGCTGAATAAAGCGCATGAAATCCACTCCCAACTCCGAGTATATTTCTGCAACGTAACGTAACATAACAACTGCTGCTGCACTTCCAACAATATGTATCACAACAACTTTTGTTAATGCAGGAGAAAATCCAGAAGATAATGCAGTTGTATGTGCAGGCAATGTAGAAAGAATTACAAAACAGAAAAGGGCAGCTGCAGTTTCTGCATATGTTATTTGAACAGGGCAAGCATGGTGAAAAGGGAGCTGAATGAAAAGGGAGCTTCTGCATCAAGGAGCCTTCTCTATGCACTGAGACTCCTTGTTTGCCCACATCTGAGCATTATTTAGCTGTTAATCTCTATTTTCATCGGAGAAATGTTGGAGGGTATGACACCAATACCTCAAGGAGTGCCTCTCCTCACCTCAACTAACACAGACCTGGAGCCCTGCCCAGGTGGGTGGCAGCAAGATCCTTTTGGTTCTGCAGCCACAACCGCCAGAGAAGTGGCAAAGGCACGCAAGGACGCCCCTGTCTATCCTTTCCAGATCTGCCTCCCCCTGGCCCCAGCTCTCTGCAACCTGCCACTTGAGGCAATTTACTCATTGAGGTTAATGGTTGGGCCGGCTCTGCTGCCTTCTAACAAGAAGTAATTTTATATATAGTTTTAAAAATCAGTATATACAACTGGGAAAGTCCACACGCAGTTATTGCTTTTGTCTCTTTGCAGTCAAACTTTATGCTCTGACAAGCGAAGTCATCAACGGTGAGATGCAGTTTTACGCCAGAGCCAAACATTTCTACAAAGAAGTGCCGGCGTCGGAAGAAGGCATGATGGGGGATTTCATCGAGTTGTCCAACACAGATATTGAGTCCTCCAGGGAATTTCTTAAGAATTTTGTAGGGGTGAGTTGTGTCTGTCTTTGAAGTTCACATCTCTTGTTATAAACCCCTTTGGTTTTATGATGATGCCTCCATTTTGTGCAAGAGAAATATGGAGGCCACATTCCTCTTGTCTTTTTGAGCGGTGTGTGTGTGTAAACGTCTTTGAGGGAAAATAGCCCACAAATTTGAAACTTGCATTTGGAAGTGTGTTGCTGGCTATATACATATTCGCTGAGGGTAAGGACAGGAAATCACATTTTTCCAATGACACGATATTTCAGTGACTCCTTGCAAGATAGCAGTGATGGCTTTTGTACATTTGTTCCGGTCAGCCATGACAATCTGCAACTCTTTATCTCAGAGACTTGAACCGGTTGCACATTTCCCTGGGTAGCAGTTTTATGTTCCTTCGGTGCGTTTCTCATGCCTTCCACCAGGTGTGGCAATGCAATAATATAATTCGGCTGCCCTGAGATGCCTGACTGTCAGTATTTGGTTAATTTTTAAAGAAGGAATAGACCTATAGGAAGGAAAAATAACTTTTGGGGAAAAACACACCACTAAGCCTGGGACTCATTTAAGGAAAAGTTAAACAGACTGGAAAGATGTATCTCAGACAACCAGTTGATTTATTTATGTATTTTATTACAGTTCTCAATTGCCTTTCTGCAAAAAATTAGCCCCCAAAGCAATGTACGAAACCAATAAAAGACATTTAAGCAAACCAAATTTAAAACCAATTAGAAATACACTGCAGAATAGAAATCAATCCATGTTAAATATAAAGGCGATTTTGAAAATGAGAACTGAAAACATTCACACAGATGACAGTATCGAAATCCTCCAGTTGTCTGGCAGAGCAGCATGGAAATGTGCCCCCCTCAATGTTGATGGACTCTCGACTTGCATTAGCCTCAGCCAGGAATGCATAATATGCTCGGCAATATTTGGAGGGCCACACACCACAGTCTCTGCTGTGCCTTACTCCCAAAATCCCACACTGCTCAGAGACAGGAGTGGCATGTATCAATATAAAAAGGTTAGTCGCTTGAAAGTAACAAAACTTTTCTGAGAAGATGTCAAAAGGTCCTAATCTACAATATCAATCAGAAATATCTGAAATAATAATAGTAATTTAGTTGTAGAGGTTTGTAACTCCTCAGTGGCGCTGGAGCCAGAACAAGGATTAAGTGCAATAAATTCCACTTCAGGGCTGTTTGGTTATCTTAAACAGCTCTCAAGTGGTACTTAATCCTTTCACTCAGTCACCGTGTTCACTGCGACTTTTAGCAACGATCAAACTGTTCAGTGACTTGAAAGCAGTCACATTTATATGGTTGCTTGTACAGCAAAAAGTTACGAATTTAATCAACCCGAAATTCCAAAGAGCTACTCATTTACGTATTTAGATTTCGTTCTCATGCTGTGTTGTCATTTCGTGATTCCTTAGAGCCAAGTCACATCTGGCACCAGCGCATAAGGCTGCGCATGCAGGAGAGCCATAAAATATGGATGGCTTTCATGAGTGCAGCCTTCTCACACATAGACTCCAGTTCATGCTCAAGGTAAGAGCTAGCATAGGGACCAAGTGACCGAGCCAGGAAGCCAATGGTTTTTATTAATCTTGCTGCTGCCAGGAATTTGCTATGTGACCTTAAGCAAGCCGTAGACTCAGCTTCAACTACCCAGTCAGTGAGATAGGGGTAATAATTCACACCTACCTTTAGGGAAGGGACGCGGGTGGCGCTTTGGGTTAAACCACAGAGCCTAGGACTTGCTGATCAGAAGGTTGGCGGTTCGAATCCCCGCGACGGGGTGAGCTCCTGTTGCTCGGTCCCTGCTCCTGCCCACCTAGCAGTTCGAAAGCACATCAAGTGCAAGTAGATAAATAGGTACCGCCCCAGCGGGAAGGTAAACGGCGTTTCCGTGCGCTGCTCTGGTTCGCCAGAAGTGGCTTAGTCATGCTGGCCACATGACCCGGAAGCTGTACGCCGGCTCCCTCGGCCAATAAAGTGAGATGAGCGCCGCAACCCCAGAGTCGGTCACGACTGGATCTAATGGTGATGGGTCCCTTTACCTTTACCTTACCTTTAGGGATGGATGGATGGATGTGTTGGCCAATTTCTGTTTTTCTGAGTTTCTCATTTTTCCAGTCTTCAGTTCAGTTCTCCACATTCCCACATCAGTCTATGGAGTGGGGATGGGGAGAATTCATTAGCAATTTTGTGCGGATTTCTCCAATATACACATTTGTGTGCAATTTTGTCTACTATATACATTTTCACAAAGCAATTTTCCTTAATATGCATGCTTGTATGTTATTTTAACATACGCGGGATAGCATAAGGGACGCGGGTGGCGCTGTGGGTAAAAGCCTCAGCGCCTAGGGCTTGCCGATCGAAAGGTCGGCAGTTCGAATCGCCGCAGCGGGGTGCGCTCCCGTTGCTCGGTCCCAGCGCCTGCCAACCTAGCAGTTCGATAGCACCCCCAGGTGCAAGTAGATAAATAGGGACCGCTTACTGGCGGGAAGGTAAACGGCGTTTCCGTGTGCTGCGCTGGCTCGCCAGATGCAGCTTTGTCACGCTGGCCACGTGACCCGGAAGTGTCTCTGGACAGCACTGGCCCCCGGCCTCTTGAGTGAGATGGGCGCACAACCCCAGAGTCTGTCAAGACTGGCCCGTACGGGCAGGGGTAAAAAGGTAAAGGTACCCTGCCCGTACGGGCCAGTCTTGACAGACTCTAGGGTTGTGCGCCCATCTCACTCAAGAGGCCGGGGGCCAGCGCTGTCCTAAGACACTTCCGGGTCACGTGGCCAGCGTGACATCGCTGCTCTGGCGAGCCAGAGCCGCACACGGAAACGCCGTTTACCTTCCCGCTAGTAAGCGGTCCCTATTTATCTACTTGCACCCGGGGGTGCTTTCGAACTGCTAGGTTGGCAGGCGCTGGGACCGAACGACGGGAGCGCACCCCGCTGCGGGGATTCGAACCGCCAACCTTTCGATCGGCAAGCCCTAGGCGCTGAGGCTTTTACCCACAGCGCCACCCGCGTCCCAACGGGCAGGGGTACCTTTACCTTTATGTTATTTTAACTAACACACTTCGCCCTAGCGTGTGCATTTTTTTTTTACACATTGCCTGGCCAGAGAACTGCACTACAAAGATTCAGAGAAGTGCAAATATTGAAGGACGGTTGTGTTTTGGCCCACACATTGTTTCAGAAAGTGCAAATTAGGTAGATTCGCCTTTAAATCACATTCACCCAGTGCTATACCAGCTGCACTGGCTCCCGGTAGAGTACAGGATCAGGTTTAAGGTGCTGGTTTTAACCTTTAAAGCCCTATGCGGCCTAGGACCCACGTATCTACGGGACCGCCTCTCCTGGTATGCCCTGCGGAGGACCTTAAGGTCCACAAATAACAACACTTTGGAGGTCCCAAGCCGCAAGGTGGTTAGATTGGTCTCAACTAGGGCCAGGGCCTTTTCAGTAATGGCCCCAACTTGGTGGAACGCTCTGTCACAAGAGACTAGGGCCCTGTGGGACTTGACATCTTTCCGCAGGGCCTGCAAGACAGAGCTGTTCCACCAGGCCTTTGGCCAGGGCACAGCCTGACTCCCTCCTTTGGCAATCTGCACAGAACTCTAGCCCAATGGTTGCCATCAATTTGATTTGAATTAATTTTATAATGAAATGATTTTAGAATGTTGTATTATTTTATAGTTGTTAGCCGCCCTGAGCCTGGCTTCGGCTGGGGAGGGCGGGGTATAAATAAAATTTATTATTATTATTATTATTATTATTATTATTATTATTATTATTATTATATGAGAACTAAATCAAATTTCTCCTCCATTCCTCACCTACACTGCAGCGATGTTTACAAAAAGATAACATACCGGTACTTGAAGAACTTTGTGAATTAGAATGTGCTATATAAATACGAAATATAATTACCACGATTCTCTGTTAGAGGAGGGAGGGTGCTCAGTTCAGACTGACCTTCCTTGCCTTTGTACAACCTACATGCCAGGTTTGTATGTGAGTTTAGCTCTAAATTTTAATAAAGTTCTGTCACCAAAACTGCCAGCAGTTTCTCTTTGAAACCTGTGACATAAAGCATGGGTACAATCTATGGATGGTGTCTCACACAGTAACATGAACCATAAGCACTAGGAATGAGTTAAGTCTTAATTCATTATTGGCATTGGTGTTGTGTGTATTTTTGGAGCTTGGCATACGGTTCAAGGAGAATATCATTGAGAGCTACTCTAAATGAATGGGGACCAAGGAAGTGCAAACTTCTGGTGAAGATTTCATAGTCCTATCACATGGCTGAAATAGGTGGCTACAAATCTATGATTCTATGATATGCGCTAGACAATAATGTCCTAGATCCTGCTGAGTACATACTGCTAAATAGATTAAGCACTTATCCTCAATTCCTCTTGTCCCACTGCTTCTCTCCCCCCCCCCCACACCGGAGGGCACAGGGAGCACTGTTTAGCATTCAATGAGAGCAAATGGCAATTTGCGTTTTCTTCATGGATAGCATTGTGTTGCCCACTCATTTGCGTGTTCAGACCCAGAAACCTCCCCCTTAAATAAATTCACACTTGACTCAAATATTGGTTGTGGTTTTTGGCAGAATTTAGGCCACAATTTTCTTGATTACAGAAAGTGACTGGTTGCATAGGCTCTGGTTCAACTAGCTCCCTGCCATGCAGGTAGCGCTGACCCAGGGCACCAGCATAGGTCAGCCAAGGGTGAACACCTGGATAAGCGGAAAGGCAGGAACAGGCTAACTCCGCCACCCAAATGTCCCCCTGGACTCCGGCACAGGCACAACCCCCTCTCAGGAGTTGACCAAACCATCGAATCCCTGGATTCCTTTAAAGGAATACCATTCACACAGGGATGGCGAGAGCGTTCATCCTGGCGGCTGTTGCCAATCATGTCTAACTGCCGCATTCTGGATTAGCTGAAGTTTCTGAGTCACCTTCAAAGGTAGCCCCACGTAGAGCTCATTGCAGTAGTCCAAGCAGGAGATAACCAGAGCATGTTTCACTCTAGCAAGATGCTTTATGGGCAGGTAGGGTCTCAGCCCGTGTATCAGTTGGAGCTGGTAGACAGCTGCTCTGGACGCAGAATTAACCTGCACCTTCATGTACAGCTGTGAGATCAAAATGACCCCTAGGCTGCTTACACTACTAGATAACGTTTTGTGGCTGTCTGAGCAGGATTGCAGTAGATATAAATTATTCCTAATTCATATTCATTTTCTTTAGTGTGAGTTAATGGAATTTAAAACAACAATGGCAACTGGTGCTTCTGTCCTGCCTTTAATCCCTTCCCAGTTTCCTAGAGTCTCAACTCTATACTGCTTATCATAAATGTAAATGAAAAAATGAAATTGAAAGCTGAACTTCCGTTCCCAACACTGTCTATTCAATGAGTGTGCTTAAGTGTAAATTAAAATGACTCCACGTGCTCTCCTATTCAGATGGATTTGCATGCCTATTCAGTTGCATTCATAACACCTGAAATTTCTTGTGTCTCTGAAATTCATCATAGGATGTTATACAAAATGCTCTGCTTTGTGAATATAATTGGAAGTGTGGAACCATGTGGGAATAGGCAAAATCAGAGTTTACCAAACGCCTCCCTCTCCCTTCATCGACTCCTCGAAAATTGCTGAGGGTCTTTGAAGCCGTAGCCATTGTCATGTGATAGATGCCCTGTGAGTTTTGACTGGTTTTTAAAAATTGCTTTCCATTTGTTCATATGGTGTTTTATCGTATTGCAACAACTTGAATTTGGTAGGATTTACACCCAATGATCCCCGCTGCTGTGCTTGCAGCACAGAACAGCCAAGGAGGTGGCATCTGTGTGTATTCTCCATAAGTGTGTGCATGCAAAGTGCGTACACCCACTTTCGGCTGGTGTGCAGCTCTTAGATTTAACAGGCTAGCCACTCCTGAGTTAGAGACTTTGTGTACTTCTAAAATGGCATCTTGTCCTAAAGGTGATAGTAGACATTCAATACAGCCGGTCGTTTTGACAATTGTTGCCTCTGGCATGAAAACCACCTGTTCTACCTAGAAGTTCGAAATCACACCAAAAAATTGCAAGTAGATAAATAGGTACCGCTCCGGCGGGAAGGTAAACAGTGTTTCAGTGCATTGCTCTGGTTTGCCAGAAGCGGCTTAGTCATGCTGGCCACATGACCCGGAAAAACTGTCTGCGGACAAACGTTGGCTCCCTTGCCCTGTAAAGCGAGATGAGCGCTGCAACCCCAGAGTCATCTGCAACTGGACTTAACTGTCAGGGGTCCTTTACCTTTTTTATACCTGCCTGAGGATTTGACATCTGTTCCCATGACATCTGCGCGAGAACTAAGGACTCTTCCTCTTCTCCTTCTAAAGAAAGTAAATTAAATTGTGTTGCCTGCTTATGTTGAGGACAGCACCATCGGCAGAGCAAAGTGGGAAGGGGCAGAATGTCCACTGAGCTCATTCTACAATTACTCTCTGCAACCAGGGATATTTATAGCTATGACACTGTCTGTTTGCCCCTGGTTTGACCTTAATAATCTGCTGAATTAATCACTGAAGCACAGCCCAAGTAGAAATGGCATATGGGCACCTGACATGATTTACAACTATTAGTAATGTTAGAGGGAGACTATTTAGAGCCAAACTCTGCCCTACGATAGCTCCTATATATGTGGCGGCAATGGTTGGGAGGGGACTTTAATTTCATCGCTCCTGTGGTATAGTGGAGCAACAGGGAAGTCATTTCCATGTGAATCTGTTGTTATTCTATATATCCCCACAGGGTCAAGGAGGGGGCAGCTATAGGGGGCGGAAAGGGTTTCAGCCCCCTTGAATAAGGCATGGGGAAAGTATAGAATGCATTTGAAAAAATATTGCAAACAATTACACACATTAGTGGGATTGGCAGGAACCTTGTAAAAAAACTGAATTACGGATTGATTAAGGCTTTATAATAATTGGAATTTTTGAGAAGAAGCAGAGGGAAAATAATAACATAAGGATCCATAAAAGGTGGGGGGAGGGAAGTTAAAGGGTAGGCAAACTAAGGCCCGGGGGCCGGATCCAGCCCAATCGACGTCTAAATCCAGCTCGTGGATGGTCCGGGAATCAGCGTGTTTTTACATGAGTAATTGTGTCCTTTTATTTAAAATGTGTGCTTTTATTTAAAATGCATCTCTGGGTTATTTGTGGGGCCTGCCTGGTGTTTTTACATGAGTAGAATGTGTCCATTTATTTAAAATGCATCTCTGGGTGATTTGTGGGGCATAGGAATTTGTTCATTTTTTAAAAAAAAAATCAAAATATAGTCCGGCCCGCAACAAGGTCTGAGGGACAATGGACCGGCCCCCTGCTGAAAAAGTTTGCTGACCCCTGGGATACGTTGTTTGTATTCTGTTTCTTTTTGTCTTTTGCTTTTTGCTTATTGCTTGTAAAATATAAAATGTAAAAACAATTTATTTGTTTATTTTTTTAAAAAAGGAAAGGGTTTTGTATCTGGTGTGAATGCTTTGGGCAATCCACTGTTTCTCTTCCTTGCCTCTGTTGTAAACAAAAATTTCCCTTTTCCCTTATGGGGTATCCAACAGCCCATATAGAGTCCTTACGTAGGTTCCCTATTGGTAGGAAAAAATAACAGAGGCCAACCAGAGAATATTGAGAAGCAAAGCAGCTAGTAAGCTTGATCTTTATTGATCTGTTGCAACAGGGTGCTCCCCTCACACGCAGGAGAGGAAGAGGACCCAGAAAAATGGTGTGCAAGGCCTTATAAAGACTTTTGAAATTCCCATCCTGTAGATCAAGACCACCCCCAGAAACATCACACATACATCACAGAAGGGGTGTAACCTAAGACCATCCCTCAGATACATCACACCTACATCACAGAAAAGGTGGTCCAAAATAGAATTTTTAGTTTTGTTATTCTCCTGTTTTTGTTTATCTCCTGTCTGGCAGGTTACTAGATTGGATTGCCTGGGGAGCCTGGCCAGTCTTTTGTAATGATAAATACTTAGTTCCTGGGCCAGGTCACAGGCTCACACCCTATTCAAACACAGACAGGATTTGTGAAGGAAAAGACAATGGGGAGGCTTTTTCCATTTTGACCTTGCAGAGAAAAGATTTGGTCAGTTTAGGAATCAAAATGGTTCCAGGTTGGCCTTCCTGTGCTGATCTATGTATGTGCTTGGTTGGTACACTTATGAACATTACCATATATCTAAGACCATAAAATTCCTATTACACCTCTTTCAACAATAACAGAAGGACAAGACTGGCCTTGCAAGATTTCCATGAGGTTTACTGAGGTAATGAGTGTGAGAGGCCAGAGCACTCAAGTGTTGTTTTTCATGCTCTCCGCAGGGGCCTGGCAAAGCGGGCACCGACTTCGCTCTTGACTGCGGCTCAGGCATAGGGAGGGTGAGCAAACATGTCCTCCTTCCCTTATTCAAGCACGTGGAGCTGGTGGACATGATGGATGTTTTCCTGACAGAAGCTCAGAACTACTTGCAGGGCCAGGGAGAAAAAGTCGACATGTACTATTGCTGCAGCCTCCAGGAATTCACGCCAACGCCTAGGAAATACGACGTCATCTGGATCCAGTGGGTTTCAGGTCAGTTCTGCCATTTGGTCCCCCATGTAAAAACAAGTGAGCAAGAGAAGCTATGGGGAGGGCACATAACTGGTCATCTTTGCGAGTGACACAGGATATGCAGCAGCGAGGGGCTGTCCACGCTTCTGCTCTTCCTGTACTAGAAAGCATGGGTCAATGTGGTTTTCTGCTTGTCTCATATGCATTCTAAGCATGGGTAGGAACACTTTTGTCTCTGCTTTCCTCTTAAAAACATGCTCTTTAGTGCTGAATTGGAACAAATGGCAATCCGCCACTGTTTGTTCTGATTCAGCACAGCAACAACAACAACAATAACAACAACAATAATAATTTATTTCTACCCTGGGTGGCTTACAACAAAAGATTAAAAATACATTAAAACATCCGTCATTAAAAACTTCCCTAAAGGGCTGCCTTCAGATGTCTTCTAAATGTCATATAGTTGTTTATTTCTTTGACATCTGATGGGAGGGCGTTCCACAGGGAGGGCGCCACTACCAAGAAGGCCCTCTACCTGGTTCCCTGTAACTTCGCTCCTCGCAGTGAGGGAACCACCAGAAGGCCCTCGGCGCTGGACCTCAGTGTCCGGGTTGAATGGTGGGGGTAGAGACACTCCTTCAGGTATACTGGAAATGTACTGGGAGCCAATATAGGTCTTTCAAGACTGGTTTTATATGGTCTCGGTGGCCACTCCCAGTCACCAGTCTAGCTGTCACATTAAGGATTAAGTTGTAGTTTCCAAGTCACCTTCAAAGGTAGCCCCACGTAGAGCGCATTGCAGTAGTCCAAGCGGGAGATAACTAGGCCATGCACCACTCTGCAAGACAGTCTCCCAGCAGGTAGGGTCTCAACCTCGTGTACCACATGGAGCTGGTAGACAGCTGCCCTGGACACAGAATTGACCTGTGCCTCCATGGACAGCTGCGAGTCCAAAATGACTCCCAGGCTGTGCCCCTGCTCCTTCTGTCTTGTCAGGATTCAACCTCAATCTGTTAGCTGCCATCCATCCTCCAACCGCCTCCAGGCACTCACACAGGATCTTCACCGCCTTCACTTCATGCCGTCGAGACCACATAACACCGGTCTTGAAAGACCTACATTGGCTCCCGGTACGTTTCCGAGCACAATTCAAACTGTTGGTGTTGACCTTTAAAGCCCTAAACAGCCTCGGCCCAGTATACCTGAAGGAGCGTCTCCACCCCCAGCGTTCTGCCCGGATGCTGAGGTCCAGCTCCAAGGGCCTTCTGGTGGTTCCCTCATTGCAAGAAGCAAAGCTACAGGGAACCAGGCAGAGGGCCTTCTCGGTAGTGGCACCCACACTGTGGAACACCCTCTCATCAGATGTCAAAGAGATAAACAACTACCTAACATTTAGAAGACATCTGAAGGCAGCCCTGTTCAGGGAAGTTTTTAATGTGTGACATTCTAATGTATTTTTAATCTTTGTTGGAAGCTGCCCAGAGTGGCTGGGGAAACCCAGCCAGATGGGCAGGGTACAAATAATATATTATTATTATTATTATTATTATTATTATTATTATTATTATTATTATTCACTGGTTCCGATTTAAAAGAGAGGAAGGGCAGGTTTCACTGGGCAAGCGGTGGTGCAAACCTAGGTGTGAATAAGCCCTAGGCATCAGTGGACCAAATGTCCTCTGGCTACCTCTCTCCATCTTTCCTCATACCTTGTACAGACCATGGCCACACCATAGGCGCCGACTCCATGGGGCTTGAGGGGGCTCGAGCCTCCTCAAAAAAATTTTTTGGGGGGCTCAGCCCCCCCAATAATCTCGGGCGCCGGGGGCGGGGGCTCCTGCCTCGCTGCTTCGCAGCACCACCGCCACTGCCAAGGCACTGCCGGGGGGAATTTCCTTCCTCCTGGCAGTTTCAGCCCCCGCGAGAACAGGGGAATCCCAACTGGCCACACCTCCCAGCCAGCCAATCGGCTGGCTGGGGGGGGCGTGGCTTGCCCTATTTAGGGCCGGAGCCACTTTATTTGCATATTCATGAGCTTATTTATTATTCATGAGCTTTCCCGGGCCCCCCAATATTTTTTATAAGTCCGCGTCCCTGGGCCACACACTGCATCACAGGCTGCGGGTACAGAACCAAGGCCTACTGAACAAGGGTTTATCTCTAGAAGATCCAACTCAGTGCACTTGGTATAAGGCACCTTCCCATTTTCCTAACAAAACTCCCTGGGTAGTCAGTGCTTACAGCACAGGGATGTGGTCCAATACTGCCCTCCACGTTTCTCTCTCTGGGTCACACCTCTTGACAACCCTTTTCTGGACCCACCTCCAATGTATTTGCCTCCTTTGAATGCATCCTTGAACTGCAAAGCAGTCTTTTGCATGAGGACAGCCTTGCTTTTTCTGTCCAATTCCTCTGGAGAGCAACAGAATGCCATCGAGACCCATTCCTCTAAAGGGGACTTGCTCTCTGAGCGTTCAAAATATGTAGTGGCAAGGAATCCTACAAACCAGCTGCTTAGAATGTGGGTCACTGGATATCCTATTTTAGAAGTTTTTAAATGAAAAATGGGGACGACGACGACAGAATAGTTGCAAACCTTGAATCACCTCATAATTTCTTAGTCCCATTTCATCTGAGATCTGGGATGGACCAGAATTTACATGTCCATGCGTCCCTAGCCAAAGTGTGCCACAGTGAAGCAGTTGTGGAGTTTGCAGAATATTAAGTATAGTTATTTGTTAGACATTCCTGGATGATGCTAAGCAAGGGGAGGGGGTTGCAATCTACTCTTCTGATAACTAGCTTGCCCCCTGCTCTCATTTCAGAAATCAGAGATGTAAGGCAGTGCTGCCTCCCCCAAAAATAATTACTTTGCCCCTATTCTGTCTCTTGTGGCAATATTGCAGAAAATCTACACCTTAAAGAACTTCATACTGTTGCAAGGCTGAAGCCACCGTTGCTACGAAAAATATAGCCCTGTTCTGTTTTGACCTCCTGCAGGAAACCTGACAGATAAGGATTTACTGGGGTTTTTCATTCGCTGCCAGGATGGTTTGAAGGAGAACGGCATTATTATTCTGAAGGACAACGTGGCACGGGAGGGCTGTGTCCTCGATCCGTTGGACAGCAGTGTCATTCGAGATCTGAACATCCTCAGTAGTCTTATTGAAAAGAGCGGCCTCTCCATCGTGAGACGGGAAAAGCAAGAGGGCTTTCCTGAGCAGTGCGTACCAGTCTGGATGATAGCCATGCAGAAGAATCCTATCCATATGAGAAATGGGATGTTGTAAGGGCCGTTGACATAGGGCTGGAATTCAGGGCAACAAAGGGGGGGAATTGAAGTAGTGTTTCCAGGCTGGATTTCTCGTTGTAAAACAGCAGCGGCACTCCCATGTTTTTCCTCTTCCATTTCCATGGTTTTCAGAGCTCAGAAGAATGGTGGTCATTCTTTCTAATGCAATGAGTGTAGAGGACCCATCAAACAGCTGTCCTATGCAGTCTGATAATGGCTGGAACAGCATCTACTCTAGCCATTTCCTTCTCTGCCATTTGCCTCTCTTCTCTTGGAATAAACTCTTATCACCTTAACCCTTCTCTTTCTAAACAGCATTGCCAACACCCCATTTAGGTGTGTACAGCAACATGGAAAAGTGACTTGAAGCATGGCAGGGGAAACAATCTCGCTGAGTTTTAAGCTGCTGGTGTGTACATGTGATTGTGATTGGAAGTGTACAGATCATGTTTCCTGAAATATCTCATTATGGCTAGAAGGGCCAAGGCAGAGTTACATGGAGCTTTGTGATGACTTCCTTTTGGGTTTTCGTTTGGGTTTTAATCTCAACCAGCTTGGGCAGTCTTCACGTCTGAGCAGAAGAAGGAGAGGTTACTTAATAAGTTACTTAATCTGTTCCCCTTTGGTTGTTTTCAGCTCTAAACTGCCCCCTTTAAACTGCTTTTTTTTCCCTGCAAGAAAAAATGTACAGCTATTTTTGTTGGTTTGTTTTGTTCTTCTTCACACACTGCTCTGTTCCTAACTTACGGTTGTTCCTTGCTCCTTTCTGTTGGGCATTATCTAGAATAGTATTCAAGGTATTCATTCTGTGGTGTTTCCACAAAATTTGAGATTTGGGGAGCATGAGTAACTCAAATGCCAGTGGCAATTGTTGCTTGAAAACCTGGATGCATGCAACTGGGAGTTCGTAGTTTCTTATCACCTCAGACAAATTCTCTCTCTCTCTCTCTCTCTCTCTCTCTCTCTCTCTCTCTTTTTAAATGATATTTATTAAAAGTTTAGAAATTACAGAAAAAAGGAAAAGAGAAAAAGAGAAAGAGAAAAGACAAAACAACAAAAAATTTAACATAGCCTACATTACAATACATAAAAAGAAAAACATAAAAAGACAATACAACAATACAGCAAAAAAAACCAATAACACTAAAACACACATCCAATATTCCATATCTTTACCTTTCATTTACTTGTTTCATTGACCTCCTCACATCTCCCTTTTTTGTATTCTAGTTCAATTAATTGTTTCAGCAAATTCTTTCCATCTTTCTCAATTTTTGTTCTATAATTTATCTTAATGATCTAACCTTCAATTTCCATTTTCGCCCATTCACCTCAGACAAATTCTCTCCACCACAAAATGAGCTCCAAAGCTTTACTGCAGAACAGTCTTAAATACGGTACTACTGACAATAAGATGGATGTTACAAAATAGCAAAGTAACAGGTTGCAAACAAGCGATGGAGGCCTTTAAGTAGTTCAGTAAACTTTCCTCTCTCTGGTCCTGGAGAGAGATCCTAAGCTTGTTCATAGATGTGCAGTTCTTCCGCCATGGCTGCTGCTGCTAGCCACCCCCAACAAGAACACACAGAGACTTCTCATGTTTCAGTTTCCTGTAAGCTCCTGTTTCCAGCAATAAGTCCTCAGTTGGTTTTTAGCTCATTGAAACGGTAAAATACTGGTGTTCTCTGAAGCTTTTGCCATAGTGGAACCTCTTCCCTTTACAGCATTTTAAATGCAATGTATTCAAACACAGCATTTTATGCGCATTTAGCTTTAAACTTTAAACAACCCACAGAAGAAATAGAAGCAAAATATGTGGAATGAAAATGTTTTAGATTAGCTCCCTCTGGCTTTGATACAATGGTCCATATGCTACATATTCAGGAAGATTCAGTCAAATGACTACAAGGTTATCTGACAATAGATGAGGAATTTAGTTATTTCTTTGACGATGACAATTAAAATATTCTATTTTGGTTGCATGCAAGGCTATGGTTGTATAGGAGTACCCAAGCACTTGTAGGAGCCGAGGCATTAAGAGTAGGTTTATTTATTTTTATTTATTCATTGAATTTATACCACACCATTCCTCCCAATGAGTCTGTGGTAGCCAGGGAGGCAAAACCTCCCCATCTTTCTCTAGTTTTGTATAAATGGAAGCAGGTGGTTGGAGTCAGGTTACCAGACGTCCCCGGATTTACAAATCAGTCCCCTGACAAAATCCACCCCCTTCAATTGAAGCTGAAAAGTGTCCCCGGATTCACTGAAAAAATTCTGGTAACTTTAGGCTAGAGCCACTGTTAAAGCTAAAATTTATTTCATTATTCCATGTAATCCAAAGACCTTGGGGTAGTTCACTCCCTTTTATTCTCACAACAATCCCATGAGGTGAGTTGAACCCAAGATGTAGTAACTAGCTAAGATCATATGGCAAAATGTATGGCTATTGGCAGAATAAGAGTAGAGATCTTTTGCCTGCATCTTTAGTAAAGCAATTAAAGTAAGCTCTAGTTTGTCAATACAGTGGTGCCTCGGGTTACATACGCTTCAGGTTACATATGCTTCAGGTTACAGACTCCGCTAACCCAGAAATAGTACCTCTGGTTAAGAACTTTGCTTCAGGATGAGAACAGAAATCACACGGCGGCTGCGCAGCAGCAGCAGCAGCAGGAGGCCCCATTAGCTAAAGTAGTGCTTCAGGTTAAGAACAGTTTCAGGTTAAGAATGGACCTCCGGAACAAATTAAGTACGTAACCAGAGGTACCACTGTAACTGATTTATTGAGCATTCATCCAGATTTTCTTGAGGGTGTTTATATGTCTTCCTGTTAATAATTCATCCATTCCTCCATCCCAAATTTTTCAATGCGTTTCCCCATCACTACAAAAAAAAAAAAGTTTCCTATGTTGATTTATTGTGCTAGAGTGCTTTAAAAAGGTAAAGGTAAAGGACCCCTGGCAGTTAAGTCCAGTCACGGACGACTCTGGGGTTGCGCGCTCATCTCGCTGTATAGGCCTAGGGAGCCGACATTTGTCCACAGACAGTTTTTCCGGGTCATGTGGCCAGCATGACTAAACTGCTTTTGGTGAACCAGAGCAGCACACGGAAACACCTTCCTGCCGGAGTGGTACCTATTTTTCTACTTGCACTTTTGATGTGCTTTTGAACTGCTAGGTTGGCAGGAGCAGGGACCGAGCAACGGGAGCTCACCCCATCGCGGGGATTCAAACCGCCGACCTTCCAATCGGCAAGCCCTAGGCTCTGTGGTTTAGACCACAGCTTCTTTAACCCACCTCAAATGTGGAAATCTAAAGTATGCATCTTAATCCCTCCAGCAAAACATGGCATTTTGGAGGTGTCATGAGAAATACTCATGACATGTGAAATGTCAGGTCAGAGGGGAAGGGAGAATTCCAACAAGGGCATGTTGTGTTACTGTCAGAAAAATTAATAAACAAATTCTTACACCTTATGATTTTGCTGACAAAATTTTGGCACCTCAGCTATAAAAACCTTGCATACTAAGTAGCATGCACAGGGCACAATCTATTTACAAAGTCTCCAAAATAAGCCTATTTTATATTAATCTCTTGCACTTTTCATTTCAGTAGGCTTTGTGCAGGAGAACTGTCTAATGGTAACAACAACAACAACATAATACCACGTCCATTTGGGCAGCTTACAGCACATATAAAAACATAGTAAAAGGTCAAACATTAAAAACTTTCCAAAAAAGGACTGCCTTCAGAAGTCTTCTAAAAGTCAGTTACTTGTTTATTTCCTTGACATCTGAAGGGTGTGTGTTCCACAGGGAGGGCGTCACTACCGAGAAGGCCCTCTGCCTGGTCCCCTGTAACTTTGCTTCTCACAGTGAGGGAACCAGCAGAAGACCCTCGGAGCTGGACCTCAGTGTCTGGGCTGAGCAATGAGAGTGGAGACGCTCCTTCGGGTATACAGTGCTTCGAAACGCACTGGGAGCCAGTGAAGATCCTTTAGGGCCGGTGTTATATGGTCCCTGTGGCCGCTCCCAGTCACCAGTCTAGCTGCTGCATTCTGGATTAGTTGTAGTTTCCAAGTCACCTTCAAAGGTAGCCCCACGTAGAGAGCATTGCAGTAGTCCAAGTGGGAGATAACGGACTGGGCCTCATGGGCCAAACCTGTCTGCTGCCTGAGTTGGCTGTAGCAAATTGTATGTAACTCATGTTGCTCCTCATCACACAGAAATGAAGCCAAATTAATGGCCTTCAATGCGACTATAGCAACAACGTACGTAAAGTATCCATGGGAATAATTAGCTATTTGTATTGGACACACAAATTGGGCACAACCAGAGTCTCACATTTAATGTAATAAAGCCATCTCTATGATATGTGTATCCAGACTAGTGTTGCCATCATCATGATTTTCTGTTTCCTTTATAAAGCATGTCCTGTTGCTCTGTCAGATAATGGTCAAATGCGTTTAACTGTTATGTGTGATTAAAACCAGTTGTGTTGATTCCCTCCTTTTCTTTTCTTCCTTTGATGATTGTGTGATAAGAAAAGGCTACTGCAGTTATTTGCAAACGTTCCTTTCTTCCTTTGGAAGGTCATCATAACCCTGGTAAATAAATAGAAAATCTGGTTGAAGCAATTCTTTTCATCTCGGGAAAAACAGTATCATCACAGCATAAAAACCGTGTTGATGGGCTAGACATAATTTCCAGCTTTTTCCAGGTGTCTCTTTCAGAGCTCAATTCACCTGCAAACTGCTTCCATCTTTACAGACCCAATCCTGACACATATGAAAGCTGCTGAAACCGAGTAACCGTTTACATCCATCATTGGACAGAGAAGAGTTGAGGCGCTTGGCGAAGATTTACGTTGATCTCCTTAACCTTGAGAACATAGGATTTGATACTGTGTGACAGCATATCCACATTTCAAGAGATAATAATTGGGGTGGGGGAGGAGAGAGAATTGTATAGTCAAATTGCACCTCCAGAGCAAGTCCCCTTTGAATGGATGGAGGGGCTGATGGAGTTGCTCTCCTCAAGGACTATTCATTGAGGACAATTTACCTGCCACCAATAATACATCAATGCACATAGATCATGATCACAAATTGCTGGTGGACTGCAGGACTGTGTGTGGCCAGAGGTAAAACTAGGCTTTATTTCGCCCAGTCAAAGGCTCAATCTGGCACATACACCTCAACACTTTTGTTCTTAAAGGGCATAAAAAGCAGGCGACGTATTATTATATAGAAAAACAAAACTTTGTATTCAAAGATTTCATGGATTCATTTGTGGCAAGACACCAACCAACCCATGCTCCAGACTGGAGGGAGCCCCACTGTAAGTGTTGTGGGGAGGGCTTTGCTGGAGCCTCGCACAATTGAGACCAGGAGGAATTGAGGCGACCAGGGCTGCCATGAGCAGAATGGGGTGAGAAGACCCTCAGAAGGGGACCAGCTTGGGCATCTCATTGGGCATAGGGTGGGCAGTAGCATCCCAGACTGGGCTTCTTTCTTCCTTAGCTTCTCCTCTGAGCACCCGAGGGAGATGGCAGTGCAGCTTGGCCTTACTTTCAAAGGGTTAAAGATAAAACGAGCAAGGTTCCTAGAGAGGAAGGGAATTTGCAGGATGGGGGGAATTTGTT